ATTATGATTATTATGATTATTATTATTATTATTATTATTATTATTATTGCTATTAATAGTTTGCCTAAGTAGTTTTGAGTATTCATTAGTGCATTGTTATTTTACATAGTCTGTCTAAAAGTTAGATTTTCGAGATTAGACGGGGAGATAGTATATAACTTTACAATAATTTGGAGTAACTAGAAGTGCTTATATTAAGTCGTCTGGTATTGTACCTGTGCCTGTTGATAGATACTTTAGAGACATTCGCACTTTCATGTATATATAAAACCGGTCGGATCAGTTCCTTGTTTTGTCATCGAAAAAATTTGTCTGAATATATTACTATCTAATAGTTAGTCTAATTAAAAATCATCGGCATGTTAAATCTACAAGTCTCTTCCAGTGATCATAAAAGAAGTCGCAACAATTTAAACAAATACTAAAATGGTTGTTGTTATCTCGTACTTTCTACACAATTAAAGAAATTTTGAACTTTCTGGAGTATAACTAAATGCCTTAACTGCAGTCTGTTTTTGTTGTAGTCTATGTATATCGTTTTTACTTTTGACCAAAACTCACAAAAAATATAATTACTACCTTCATATCTAATCTTACCAATGTTACTTATATCCTCGAGAAAGGATATTGTCAATACTGAATTATTCAATGACAAAAAGTAGTGATTTTCAATCTCACCATCCAGACAATGTTAAACAAGGTATGATAGGAAGGAAAATACAGTTCCTACTGTTCCTACTTTGGCTAAACTGAAAAGGAACCTAGAAAAAGATAAAACTAATATAATTTATTAGGCGTGCCCCTCTCCACACAGTAATTATTTGTAAAATGGGGTGAAATACTTCAAAAAACCGGTGGTAAGTTTTTCTTTATAAATATGCCAGATAACAGTGTCGTTGTAATGGATAACGCAAGCTATCACAGCCGCCTTCCACAAAAAGCACCAAGTTAGATACCAGTTCGCGACAGTAACAATTTAAGCTGTTACTTTATTTACTTTACTGGGCGTTATTTCTTTATTTTAGTAAACTTCAAGGAAAAAGTACTAGCGGAGTTATATATGATGGTTTCCTGGAGAAACTTATTTTTGGCGTTGTTCTAAAGTGTCCGATAAATGAGACAATTACCTTACTCAATTTCTTTATGCGCCATTAGGAGCGCTTATCTATGTTTATTTCCTAACCGAACTATGGTTCAAAAATCCATACACGCAAAGCTCTTCGTTGAAGGTACTTCTGAAGATGTACGATGGGAGGGGGATTATCCTCAACTTCTAATAAAATTTAATCTTTTGTTCTTATTAATTTTTGGACGACCTGGCCGTAAACGATCTTTGATCTGCTCTGTGTTTCTATAAATTTTCACTCAATTTTACTCACCGTGGATCTTGTATATTTTGCGTTCAACAAATCACAGCTTCCTTCGCCATACGCCATGCTCACTTTCTCCACTGAGAGACATGTACCATTACTGGAACTAGCTACTTACCTGTTCATTTCAAAATTAAATTTCTGTTATCTATTCTCTTGCTCATAAAAATTATGCGAGTAATTTTGAAAATGAATTTTAAAAAATGGTGTTTCTTTGTATCGACATTTATTTTTTGACCCTCCCTGTATATTTAATATTTACTGCAAAAAATGATCAAGGAAAAATTATAGTGGAAGTGTGCGACCATTTTTCTGGAAGTTGAATTGAATTTGGAACAAATTCTAGCCTTAACTCTATATGATTATAAGAGTAAATTAGTAGTGAATAAGTACAATATAGGCTTCCCCCACTCCTCTCCCTTTTGTGGGCGTGTCCTCCTTCCCCACGACTCTCTAGCTCCTCCCCCTTTACCCATAATCCCTTGAAACTGGCTCCCATTGGATAAGCAACCAGAAATGCGGTTTAATCAATCTCCCCACCTCTAGTTTGCGATGGCGGCGAAGCCAATCAGAGCCCAGATATTTTCCCACCCCTAAGAAAAGCAATGGCGTCAATGAGACTTGATCATATTGTTCGCGTGACCATCTGCACCCTCTAGCGGTTCGAATGTAAACTAGTGTCCCCTCTTGGAATAAGATTTTCTTTAATAAGGTAACCCCACCTAGTGAATATTGACCAAAACATTTATTTTAAAAACATATACTTCTGCGAATGTGTACCCTCGCGGGTACAAACTGTACTTTTATTGCGCACAAAGGACAGGGGAAATAAAGACGAAAAGTGTTGGATTTCTTTTCTCGGAACTGGAAGCTGGCAGGCACCACCAATAATATCTGCAAAACAAAAACCTGGTTAAAATTTTCATTAATAAAGTAGGATATTAGAAACCATATACCTTTTTAATTAATAAGCCATCTACCGTGCGTTAACTTCATACATATTTCCGCATGCTTCTGTTTTAAGGTATCGTGAAATATTTGACTATTTATCTGGGAAAAGTTCATATGTCGAAAATATTATGTGTATGTGGCCGTGGTAGGCTTTCTTTACTATTATAATTTTATTTTTATTATTTAATATTTACAAAATTAATTTGTCTATCTTATTGATGATTTTGATTTTCTTTGCTATTTTTATTATTTGTTTTTATTATTTAATATTTTCAAAATTAATTTAATTTATCTATCTTATTGATGATTTTAAGATATCGCAGTCAACTTTACTATTTCATCAATTTCTTTTATTTATTGCTGATCTTTGAGGATAGTGTACATACTTTTTTTCGTAACTTATCTGTATCTACCCTTTAATTTCCTATCAAGCCATAAAGCAAACTCGAAAGGCATCTTAACTAAAAAGTCATATACTTTAAAGCTGCTGCGACTACTACATGAAAGTGTGTTTCTATGCAATCTCAACAATAATGAAATCTGGACGCTTATATTAAATACTGTAATACTCTTCTCTGCTAACGCTCTAGGAGACGCTATTTGAACCCTGTTCAAAGAAAAACTTCTACAGCCCAAATAACCCCTCTGAACCACACTTAAGCGCATCACTCTTTCACTGTCTTGCAGCCTTCAGATTAATATTCCGTACTAACTACGTATGCCATACACGAAACGTTCTCTTTTCTAATTTTTTTCTATGCGCTACATTAACGAACAGGATCTAAACTTTTCTGTCTGTGTATTTTGTTAGCCACCTTAAAAAAATTTAAAAAAAGGTATGCGAACCTAGAGGATATTTTCCATATTTTTCACAAATGGTGACAACAATTAATGCAAGTATTATTTTTAATAATAATCCATCTTTCGCTATGACACGAAAACATCGACTTTTTAATTCTAACTTTTCTCATAGAGCTTCCCTTTAGTCTCTATCTGTTCTTTAACTAAATCCCCACCTTTTTGAAAAACCAACCTCTAAAAATAGTTAATTTTCTCTAATTTAAATTTGTACGTTTTCCGCAATATGTGTGAATATTTTCGCTAGAGCATTTAGTTACTTAGTACATGTCCTAATCAATATTTTAAAAATATAATTCTAATGATACGTGTTTACGATTTGAAGATAACGAAACATTCCCCAGTTTCATAAATGAGAGCTCACTGCCAAACTACCAAACATCACAGTACAAACTACCGTACTACGCCCCCCTGGACAAAATCAGGTCAGTCAGCGTCATTAATTCTACCTGCGTTAACGAATAGCGTATTGTTAATTATGGTTTAATACGCAGAAAATTTAAGTAACAAATAATTGCAATGAAACTCACTAACATCATAAATTATTAAAAAAAAAAATTAGAACAGTTGGAATTTACTGGAGTAACCAATTTGGCACTAAAAATGGAAATTTTCGATACTCTACTAGGTGCCTACAATAAATTTTACTATTATTTTTAATGCAGAGACACAACGATTTTGTAGTTTTGAATTTGATCAGGGGTATATGACCATAGTTTACGCCGACTCTAAAAGGCATGCAGTCTATTGTTTTTGAACGCCCAATTTTGTGTATTATGTTCAAAACAGAGACTCTCTGGGCTTACGACTACAGCTACCAGCTACTACTTTCAATAATATTAACACAAAAAAACTAGGTGGCATTTCTATAATACGTGCAAAGTTTATGTGAAACTGACTGGAAGACAGAGTAATGCACCAATATGTTACTAAACATATTTCGATAGAATTCCGTAAGAGCTTACCTCCAAGTTTCCTCATTTAGTCAGTCAAAGCATCAAATGGGAAATTCCAATCCAACATATGTAGTGGTGGAAATATATCAATCCCCTACGTTACCGATGGTACCCGACTGAAGCTTCTGCGTCTTCTTTACCCCACATGCCTACTTAAAAAGATACTGGTCTAAGTCTCAATATTCCTGTTAAAAAAAAAGAGAGGTTCTATATTGCCATAAATATGTGTTTTCAAAATTTTACCTGAATGGTTCGTGATTCCTTATATATGCAGTGTTGGCAGCAATGTGGCGACGACTACGCTGAAACTTTCCATATCTCGTGTCCCCATGACTGGTCTGTTTCATATATCAAACCTCACCTCGCACGGGTTTGAACCTCCTTTTAAAAAAAAAAACAGGCAAGACTTATACTTATATCAAAGTAATACGAGGAACTTATATTTTATGCCAAAACTTATTTCATCACCTCCAAAGGGGAGTAGGGGTTTCTAAAGTATGGTAGGTACATCTCTTTCATTTTTTAATTAAAAAAGTGACACAATTACGCGACGTAACTCGATCCGGATCGTTAACGCGTCTCAAGATGGGGGTTTAGAGATGCTGAGGTCATTAAATTGATTCACTATTACCAGTACACACTGAAACCCCTTATTTCCAAAATAAAAAAATTGTTAACTGTTAACACAACAAAAAAAACTATTTTCTCACCAATTATATTTCTGGGTCGTTTTCAGAATTTGTCCAACGTAGAATCCCAAGAGGATAGGGCCGCAATTTCGAAAAATGTTCATGTCTCCCCACTATGCATTTGTACAAGAAGCAGGGCTGGATTAACAGCAATTATATTCTTGTCAGTCAACATACAGCCGCCGATTGAATTCTCGGATTCTGCTTTACTAGTTGCCATGGTCTGTCAAATATGTTACTTAAAAATTGTATATTTTTTTTTACAAATAATATACCTTTCCTAAAATAATTCCGCCTTTGTCAAGTGGGACACGGGCACGTCTGTCCGCTTTGAAAAGCGCAGGCGTATGTATCTTCCAAAATGATCCAAGCAGGCCCGGATTGCCAGCAAATACACAACTCCCCGATTCAATTCTGAGATGTTGCTTCACGAGTTACCATGATCTGTCAAATATTTTAATTAAAAAAAAATCTATTATTTAGCAACAATATACCTTTTTAAAATAATTTCGTCTTTTTTCAAGTTCAACAGGACACGTGTGTTCGTTTCAGTTGGACAAGGGCACGTCTGTCCGCTTTGAAAAGCGCGGCGTATGTATCTTCCAAAATGATCCAAATTGTTAACCTTTTTTTGATTCCTCGTTCCCCGATTCAATTCTGAGATGTTGCTTCACGAGTTACCATGATCTGTCAAATATTTTAATTAAAAAAAAATCTATTATTTAGCAACAATATACCTTTTTAAAAATAATTTCGTCTTTTTTCAAGTTCAACAGGACACGTGTGTTCGTTTCGAAAGGTTTCGTAGTCTGTAGCTCTGTCGAATTCTCCAAAATTCGTTAAACCTTCAGATATTTTCAAAATTTGTCCAACGCAGACTTCCACTCACGCAGTTTCGAAAACTTTCTGGTCTCCCCGCCATGCATTTGTACACGAAGCCGTTCTGGACTATCAGCAAACAGCACATCCGTCATTTTTCTTCTCGGATTCCGCTTGACGAGTTACATCGATCTGTCAAATATTTAATGTAAAACAATCTTATCTATTACTTTTACCCAATATTAAGTACCTATTCAAAATTAGTAGCGCCTTTTCGAGTTCGAAAGGTTTCGTAGCCTATAGCCCTGCCGAAATGGCATTGCATTTGTACACGAAGCAGGGTCGGATTGTAAGCAAACAGCACCCCCGGTCACTTTTCTTCTCGGATTCTGCTTGACGAGTTACATCGATCTGTGGAATATTTAGCGAAAAAAAAAATTATCTATTACTTTTACCAAAAATGAAGTACCTTTTTTCTTTAAAACAGTTCGTCCTTTTCGAGTTTGAAAGGTTTCGTAGCCTATAGCCCTGCCGAAATGTCATTGCATTTGTACACGAAGCAGGGTCGGATTGTCAGCAAACACCACAAGCGTCACTTTTCTTCTCGGTTTCTGCTTGACGAATTACATTGATCGGTCAAATATTTAATATAAAAAATATCTATTTTACCAAAAATACGTACTCTTCTAAGATAAATTAGCTCTTTTCGAGTTTAAGAGGGCACGTATGTCAACTGTAGGATGTTTTATTTTTATATTTTCCAGTGTCTATAAATTAATAAACAACAGAAGCTTCCGAATACAAAAATTTCAACATGAGTTTTTTTTTTCTTGAAACTTAAAAGTTCTAACCCCTAAAACCATATTTTTAATACGCTGGCGGACGTATAACAATCCCCAAAAATTACCATATTTAAATTGTTACTATTGACATATTTCTATTCCGAACTGAACTCAATACATGCAAAAAAAAACTAGCGAATGTTATTTATTATCTCCGATGGGTGGATGATTGAGAAACGTTTAAATAAATCTACCTTTCTGTCTCTGTTTTTCTATATAGGTCACTCATTCTCTCTATCTGTTACTTTCCACAATCCGAATTTACACTAGGCCCCCCAAAAATCTTGTAAAATTTTATCTGCTTAACTTCTTCGCGTTGTTCATATGGCTGAATTTTTTGGGAGATATATCGTGCGTTATTTGTATTAAAATTCTGTTTCCTTTTTACCTACTTCAAAAACGTAAGCGAGCATTTTTGGTTGTTTTATTAAACAAAAATTGATACTAAACAAGATCCGTCTCTCCGACCTCAGCCTCCTTTGATCACTCCCCAATTTTTTTTAATTAAGTATAGAAACCTCGTCGAACATATACATAATACTAGGTCAAAATGTTACGCGGTTACTCATTAAAGTCGCAATTCCGAAAGCTTCTTACCTATCTTTTTCCAGTCTTTTTTGTTTTATTTATCCGTATATGAAACACACATTGAACACAAAACTTAAACTCGTTGGCGATATTGCATTAAGCAACAAACGCGTATAACAGAAACGAACCCTTAACACAAACGCTTCTTTAAACTTCGACTGACACGTGAAACAACCCGCATTCCTACGAAAGGCAGGTAAACCAAGCAGGTCAAATTTTAAGCTACCCTCCAGTGTCGTCATAGGTTGGGGCATAGTAAATAGCGAATACAACAAAGCGGTAATTTATAATAATTTAATGTGCATTTTATTTAACTTAAGTTGTTTTGTAGAAAATGAGATATTTCTACAATTAATCAATATACTACGAGTACTTTTCCGCTTAATTACTATTTTTGAGAAACAAAAGGAAACGTTAGATTCCATTCAAACTTTTTCGGTTTTCATGATATCTCGCGTTTATTTAGAAGCTAATGGCCTGTGGCCTTAACCAGACGTTTCCAAAGCCTGGTTCTTAACAAACACGAAAAATATAGTTATATTGCCACCGAAAATCTGAATTTATGTTTAAAAATGTAACTTCCCGTATTTAAACTATTGCCTGCATTGGCGCCTATATTTTATAGTTTTTTTTTTATCCTATTTTTTTTTGTTTTGTTTGCAAATGTGTCCATTTTTCGGGTACTGGATTTTTTTTTCTCAAATTATTACAAATTACTCAAAACGGAGTTAAAAAGAGACGAGGAGAAAAGGGAAGAACCCTTATTTCTCCGACACTGACCTCCGATGTTTATAAAAATTGACGCCTTGACACCCTCCCCGTGAATATTTTACAAAGGATTTTTAAAATTTAACTTCCAAATAACGCATACTCTCGCCTAGTGTCACAGTTTTGGGCCCCATTTTGCTATGGTTAGACAGGTTTATTCTTGTACATTGTCGGGACAAAAGAAGCATCTCCTTCATCCAAATTGACTTTTTCATACCTAATACAACAGCTGCCGGGCATCATCTCGCCTTAATTGTTTCTATTGAATTAATTTTAGTTACAAAAAATTAGATGATCGTCAAAATTGGCATAAAAAGATAATCAAGATTTAATTAAAACAAGAATATGCACAAAAGAAAAGAGATAAACTCCGACACGGGAAACAAGGAAATATCGCTGAAACGGCAACTGATCTAGCGCGCGCCTTTTTTAAAAATAATAATTTTTCAAAAGAATTCTAGGCTAAGCTAAATACCTGGTGCAACAAAATATTGAAGGATCTTCATGATCCTACCTGTGAGCGAGTAGAAAATTATTTGCAAAGAGGATAAAGGTATATCTTAATATAAATAGTTTCACTATTGATAATATGTCCCCTTTTAAAATGGCGCATTATTTGATACGTACTTTTTTTTCTTGTCAGAGCTTGTCTAAAACAAAAGCGGGATGGATGGAGGTTCTCCGTCAGGTTTTTTTCCTGTCGAAACAAGTTTGTGCGGCGTTCGCTTTGGATCTGGGGAATGGGGGGGGGGTTATACATATATAAGCTATAAGAAATTTTAATTTTTTATTCAGTTTCCACTCATACAATTTCGTGATAAGTGCAGAGTGAGAAAAATGTCCGAAGTCGAAAATTATCCAACGCAAGCATTGGATTCGTGGGGAAGATTTGTGGTCAATGCGGAAATAATCCGCGAACAAAAATACATTTACGAGGTAGCAATTACGCTGCCGGAATTCGGACTAGAAATTACCTCAGGTCTTAGCCCAGCAAGAATCTTCGCTCCGGCAGTGAAAGTGAGCTTTCTCCCCTACGTTTTGTCGGAGAAAAGAAGCATTTCGTTCGACGAGATAGACTTCACAGAATTAATACAACAGCTTCCACTGTTATTGTTAGCAGGTCCGACTGGTAAAGTTATGTATTTAACCTGCTTCAAACTCAGCTGTCTACAATGTGATGGTGAAGTCTTGGTCAAGATTGAAAATAACGAGGGTATACTCTATATTTCGAAAGACTGGGTACAGGAATTAATTACCATAAGCAAATTGGTATTTAAAAGAATACGAGTACTGTCTCGTTTGAACTTTTACGAGTACTACGATAGAATATTGTATTTGACTATACATGAAAATTTGCTGGAAGACGCCAAAATCTTTCCGCATATAGAATATTTATGTTCTACAGAAGAGAGTGAGCAGAGCTACTGCATGGAGGACTACATGCGTTTTGGAAAAATGCAGATAAAACAAGATATCAACAAAAGGATAGCATGGGACATACCTGTGTTTTAATAGAAATTTACCTGTAAACTAATAATAATAAATGTTTTTTTAAAATTCAGTCTGTGTGTATGTTTTATCCTTACCCCCATAATAAATAGTAAAAAAAAAAACAAGTAATTGCGTAAAATAACTTTATTAAAGAAAAAAAAAATAACAACAAAATATAATCAAACAAAACATAGTACCACTGGAATGAAACCTTCAGAAATTACCCCAACAACGGAGATTCTCGCACATAATTTACCAAAAAAAAAATTTGCAGTGGAAAAGTCAAAGTTCAAAGCTGGCGATGCAGTGAGCATAATTCGCACAAAATCGGTTTTTGACAAAAGCTATGAAATTAATTGGACACCCCGAAAATTTCAAGATTGTTAAAGTAAGTGGTTCCTTCCCTCTTACGTATATTTTGGAAGATATGGAGGGGCGTTAAATCAAAGCTTCGTTTTATGAAGTCGATTTACAAAAACCGTACTACCAAATAGTCGATATCGACTATTTGGTAGTACGGTTTTTGTAAATCGACTTCATAAAACGAAGCTTTGATTTAACGCCCCTCCATATCTTCCAAAATATACGTAAGAGGGAAGGAACCACTTACTTTAACAATCTTGAAATTTTCGGGGTGTCCAATTAATTTCATAGCTTTTGTCAAAAACCGATTTTGTGCGAATTATGCTCACTGCATCGCCAGCTTTGAACTTTGACTTTTCCACTGCAAATTTTTTTTTTGGTAAATTATGTGCGAGAATCTCCGTTGTTGGGGTAATTTCTGAAGGTTTCATTCCAGTGGTACTATGTTTTGTTTGATTATATTTTGTTGTTATTTTTTTTTTCTTTAATAAAGTTATTTTACGCAATTACTTGTTTTTTTTTTTACTATTTATTATGGGGGTAAGGATAAAACATACACACAGACTGAATTTTAAAAAAACATTTATTATTATTAGTTTACAGGTAAATTTCTATTAAAACACAGGTATGTCCCATGCTATCCTTTTGTTGATATCTTGTTTTATCTGCATTTTTCCAAAACGCATGTAGTCCTCCATGCAGTAGCTCTGCTCACTCTCTTCTGTAGAACATAAATATTCTATATGCGGAAAGATTTTGGCGTCTTCCAGCAAATTTTCATGTATAGTCAAATACAATATTCTATCGTAGTACTCGTAAAAGTTCAAACGAGACAGTACTCGTATTCTTTTAAATACCAATTTGCTTATGGTAATTAATTCCTGTACCCAGTCTTTCGAAATATAGAGTATACCCTCGTTATTTTCAATCTTGACCAAGACTTCACCATCACATTGTAGACAGCTGAGTTTGAAGCAGGTTAAATACATAACTTTACCAGTCGGACCTGCTAACAATAACAGTGGAAGCTGTTGTATTAATTCTGTGAAGTCTATCTCGTCGAACGAAATGCTTCTTTTCTCCGACAAAACGTAGGGGAGAAAGCTCACTTTCACTGCCGGAGCGAAGATTCTTGCTGGGCTAAGACCTGAGGTAATTTCTAGTCCGAATTCCGGCAGCGTAATTGCTACCTCGTAAATGTATTTTTGTTCGCGGATTATTTCCGCATTGACCACAAATCTTCCCCACGAATCCAATGCTTGCGTTGGATAATTTTCGACTTCGGACATTTTTCTCACTCTGCACTTATCACGAAATTGTATGAGTGGAAACTGAATAAAAAATTAAAATTTCTTATAGCTTATATATGTATAACCCCCCCCCCCATTCCCCAGATCCAAAGCGAACGCCGCACAAACTTGTTTCGACAGGAAAAAAACCTGACGGAGAACCTCCATCCATCCCGCTTTTGTTTTAGACAAGCTCTGACAAGAAAAAAAAGTACGTATCAAATAATGCGCCATTTTAAAAGGGGACATATTATCAATAGTGAAACTATTTATATTAAGATATACCTTTATCCTCTTTGCAAATAATTTTCTACTCGCTCACAGGTAGGATCATGAAGATCCTTCAATATTTTGTTGCACCAGGTATTTAGCTTAGCCTAGAATTCTTTTGAAAAATTATTATTTTTAAAAAAGGCGCGCGCTAGATCAGTTGCCGTTTCAGCGATATTTCCTTGTTTCCCGTGTCGGAGTTTATCTCTTTTCTTTTGTGCATATTCTTGTTTTAATTAAATCTTGATTATCTTTTTATGCCAATTTTGACGATCATCTAATTTTTTGTAACTAAAATTAATTCAATAGAAACAATTAAGGCGAGATGATGCCCGGCAGCTGTTGTATTAGGTATGAAAAAGTCAATTTGGATGAAGGAGATGCTTCTTTTGTCCCGACAATGTACAAGAATAAACCTGTCTAACCATAGCAAAATGGGGCCCAAAACTGTGACACTAGGCGAGAGTATGCGTTATTTGGAAGTTAAATTTTAAAAATCCTTTGTAAAATATTCACGGGGAGGGTGTCAAGGCGTCAATTTTTATAAACATCGGAGGTCAGTGTCGGAGAAATAAGGGTTCTTCCCTTTTCTCCTCGTCTCTTTTTAACTCCGTTTTGAGTAATTTGTAATAATTTGAGAAAAAAAAATCCAGTACCCGAAAAATGGACACATTTGCAAACAAAACAAAAAAAAATAGGATAAAAAAAAAACTATAAAATATAGGCGCCAATGCAGGCAATAGTTTAAATACGGGAAGTTACATTTTTAAACATAAATTCAGATTTTCGGTGGCAATATAACTATATTTTTCGTGTTTGTTAAGAACCAGGCTTTGGAAACGTCTGGTTAAGGCCACAGGCCATTAGCTTCTAAATAAACGCGAGATATCATGAAAACCGAAAAAGTTTGAATGGAATCTAACGTTTCCTTTTGTTTCTCAAAAATAGTAATTAAGCGGAAAAGTACTCGTAGTATATTGATTAATTGTAGAAATATCTCATTTTCTACAAAACAACTTAAGTTAAATAAAATGCACATTAAATTATTATAAATTACCGCTTTGTTGTATTCGCTATTTACTATGCCCCAACCTATGACGACACTGGAGGGTAGCTTAAAATTTGACCTGCTTGGTTTACCTGCCTTTCGTAGGAATGCGGGTTGTTTCACGTGTCAGTCGAAGTTTAAAGAAGCGTTTGTGTTAAGGGTTCGTTTCTGTTATACGCGTTTGTTGCTTAATGCAATATCGCCAACGAGTTTAAGTTTTGTGTTCAATGTGTGTTTCATATACGGATAAATAAAACAAAAAAGACTGGAAAAAGATAGGTAAGAAGCTTTCGGAATTGCGACTTTAATGAGTAACCGCGTAACATTTTGACCTAGTATTATGTATATGTTCGACGAGGTTTCTATACTTAATTAAAAAAAATTGGGGAGTGATCAAAGGAGGCTGAGGTCGGAGAGACGGATCTTGTTTAGTATCAATTTTTGTTTAATAAAACAACCAAAAATGCTCGCTTACGTTTTTGAAGTAGGTAAAAAGGAAACAGAATTTTAATACAAATAACGCACGATATATCTCCCAAAAAATTCAGCCATATGAACAACGCGAAGAAGTTAAGCAGATAAAATTTTACAAGATTTTTGGGGGGCCTAGTGTAAATTCGGATTGTGGAAAGTAACAGATAGAGAGAATGAGTGACCTATATAGAAAAACAGAGACAGAAAGGTAGATTTATTTAAACGTTTCTCAATCATCCACCCATCGGAGATAATAAATAACATTCGCTAGTTTTTTTTTGCATGTATTGAGTTCAGTTCGGAATAGAAATATGTCAATAGTAACAATTTAAATATGGTAATTTTTGGGGATTGTTATACGTCCGCCAGCGTATTAAAAATATGGTTTTAGGGGTTAGAACTTTTAAGTTTCAAGAAAAAAAAACTCATGTTGAAATTTTTGTATTCGGAAGCTTCTGTTGTTTATTAATTTATAGACACTGGAAAATATAAAAATAAAACATCCTACAGTTGACATACGTGCCCTCTTAAACTCGAAAAGAGCTAATTTATCTTAGAAGAGTACGTATTTTTGGTAAAATAGATATTTTTTATATTAAATATTTGACCGATCAATGTAATTCGTCAAGCAGAAACCGAGAAGAAAAGTGACGCTTGTGGTGTTTGCTGACAATCCGACCCTGCTTCGTGTACAAATGCAATGACATTTCGGCAGGGCTATAGGCTACGAAACCTTTCAAACTCGAAAAGGACGAACTGTTTTAAAGAAAAAAGGTACTTCATTTTTGGTAAAAGTAATAGATAATTTTTTTTTTCGCTAAATATTCCACAGATCGATGTAACTCGTCAAGCAGAATCCGAGAAGAAAAGTGACCGGGGGTGCTGTTTGCTTACAATCCGACCCTGCTTCGTGTACAAATGCAATGCCATTTCGGCAGGGCTATAGGCTACGAAACCTTTCGAACTCGAAAAGGCGCTACTAATTTTGAATAGGTACTTAATATTGGGTAAAAGTAATAGATAAGATTGTTTTACATTAAATATTTGACAGATCGATGTAACTCGTCAAGCGGAATCCGAGAAGAAAAATGACGGATGTGCTGTTTGCTGATAGTCCAGAACGGCTTCGTGTACAAATGCATGGCGGGGAGACCAGAAAGTTTTCGAAACTGCGTGAGTGGAAGTCTGCGTTGGACAAATTTTGAAAATATCTGAAGGTTTAACGAATTTTGGAGAATTCGACAGAGCTACAGACTACGAAACCTTTCGAAACGAACACACGTGTCCTGTTGAACTTGAAAAAAGACGAAATTATTTTTAAAAAGGTATATTGTTGCTAAATAATAGATTTTTTTTTAATTAAAATATTTGACAGATCATGGTAACTCGTGAAGCAACATCTCAGAATTGAATCGGGGAACGAGGAATCAAAAAAAGGTTAACAATTTGGATCATTTTGGAAGATACATACGCCGCGCTTTTCAAAGCGGACAGACGTGCCCTTGTCCAACTGAAACGAACACACGTGTCCTGTTGAACTTGAAAAAAGACGAAATTATTTTAAAAAGGTATATTGTTGCTAAATAATAGATTTTTTTTTAATTAAAATATTTGACAGATCATGGTAACTCGTGAAGCAACATCTCAGAATTGAATCGGGGAGTTGTGTATTTGCTGGCAATCCGGGCCTGCTTGGATCATTTTGGAAGATACATACGCCTGCGCTTTTCAAAGCGGACAGACGTGCCCGTGTCCCACTTGACAAAGGCGGAATTATTTTAGGAAAGGTATATTATTTGTAAAAAAAAATATACAATTTTTAAGTAACATATTTGACAGACCATGGCAACTAGTAAAGCAGAATCCGAGAATTCAATCGGCGGCTGTATGTTGACTGACAAGAATATAATTGCTGTTAATCCGGCCCTGCTTCTTGTACAAATGCATAGTGGGGAGACATGAACATTTTTCGAAATTGCGGCCCTATCCTCTTGGGATTCTACGTTGGACAAATTCTGAAAACGACCCAGAAATATAATTGGTGAGAAAATAGTTTTTTTTGTTGTGTTAACAGTTAACAATTTTTTTATTTTGGAAATAAGGGGTTTCAGTGTGTACTGGTAATAGTGAATCAATTTAATGACCTCAGCATCTCTAAACCCCCATCTTGAGACGCGTTAACGATCCGGATCGAGTTACGTCGCGTAATTGTGTCACTTTTTTAATTAAAAAATGAAAGAGATGTACCTACCATACTTTAGAAACCCCTACTCCCCTTTGGAGGTGATGAAATAAGTTTTGGCATAAAATATAAGTTCCTCGTATTACTTTGATATAAGTATAAGTCTTGCCTGTTTTTTTTTTTAAAAGGAGGTTCAAACCCGTGCGAGGTGAGGTTTGATATATGAAACAGACCAGTCATGGGGACACGAGATATGGAAAGTTTCAGCGTAGTCGTCGCCACATTGCTGCCAACACTGCATATATAAGGAATCACGAACCATTCAGGTAAAATTTTGAAAACACATATTTATGGCAATATAGAACCTCTCTTTTTTTTTAACAGGAATATTGAGACTTAGACCAGTATCTTTTTAAGTAGGCATGTGGGGTAAAGAAGACGCAGAAGCTTCAGTCGGGTACCATCGGTAACGTAGGGGATTGATATATTTCCACCACTACATATGTTGGATTGGAATTTCCCATTTGATGCTTTGACTGACTAAATGAGGAAACTTGGAGGTAAGCTCTTACGGAATTCTATCGAAATATGTTTAGTAACATATTGGTGCATTACTCTGTCTTCCAGTCAGTTTCACATAAACTTTGCACGTATTATAGAAATGCCACCTAGTTTTTTTGTGTTAATATTATTGAAAGTAGTAGCTGGTAGCTGTAGTCGTAAGCCCAGAGAGTCTCTGTTTTGAACATAATACACAAAATTGGGCGTTCAAAAACAATAGACTGCATGCCTTTTAGAGTCGGCGTAAACTATGGTCATATACCCCTGATCAAATTCAAAACTACAAAATCGTTGTGTCTGCATTAAAAATAATAGTAAAATTTATTGTAGGCACCTAGTAGAGTATCGAAAATTTCCATTTTTAGTGCCAAATTGGTTACTCCAGTAAATTCCAACTGTTCTAATTTTTTTTTTAATAATTTATGATGTTAGTGAGTTTCATTGCAATTATTTGTTACTTAAATTTTCTGCGTATTAAACCATAATTAACAATACGCTATTCGTTAACGCAGGTAGAATTAATGACGCTGACTGACCTGATTTTGTCCAGGGGGGCGTAGTACGGTAGTTTGTACTGTGATGTTTGGTAGTTTGGCAGTGAGCTCTCATTTATGAAACTGGGGAATGTTTCGTTATCTTCAAATCGTAAACACGTATCATTAGAATTATATTTTTAAAATATTGATTAGGACATGTACTAAGTAACTAAATGCTCTAGCGAAAATATTCACACATATTGCGGAAAACGTACAAATTTAAATTAGAGAAAATTAACTATTTTTAGAGGTTGGTTTTTCAAAAAGGTGGGGATTTAGTTAAAGAACAGATAGAGACTAAAGGGAAGCTCTATGAGAAAAGTTAGAATTAAAAAGTCGATGTTTTCGTGTCATAGCGAAAGATGGATTATTATTAAAAATAATACTTGCATTAATTGTTGTCACCATTTGTGAAAAATATGGAAAATATCCTCTAGGTTCGCATACCTTTTTTTAAATTTTTTTAAGGTGGCTAACAAAATACACAGACAGAAAAGTTTAGATCCTGTTCGTTAATGTAGCGCATAGAAAAAAATTAGAAAAGAGAACGTTTCGTGTATGGCATACGTAGTTAGTACGGAATATTAATCTGAAGGCTGCAAGACAGTGAAAGAGTGATGCGCTTAAGTGTGGTTCAGAGGGGTTATTTGGGCTGTAGAAGTTTTTCTTTGAACAGGGTTCAAATAGCGTCTCCTAGAGCGTTAGCAGAGAAGAGTATTACAGTATTTAATATAAGCGTCCAGATTTCATTATTGTTGAGATTGCATAGAAACACACTTTCATGTAGTAGTCGCAGCAGCTTTAAAGTATATGACTTTTTAGTTAAGATGCCTTTCGAGTTTGCTTTATGGCTTGATAGGAAATTAAAGGGTAGATACAGATAAGTTACGAAAAAAAGTATGTACACTATCCTCAAAGATCAGCAATAAATAAAAGAAATTGATGAAATAGTAAAGTTGACTGCGATATCTTAAAATCATCAATAAGATAGATAAATTAAATTAATTTTGAAAATATTAAATAATAAAAACAAATAATAAAAATAGCAAAGAAAATCAAAATCATCAATAAGATAGACAAATTAATTTTGTAAATATTAAATAATAAAAATAAAATTATAATAGTAAAGAAAGCCTACCACGGCCACATACACATAATATTTTCGACATATGAACTTTTCCCAGATAAATAGTCAAATATTTCACGATACCTTAAAACAGAAGCATGCGGAAATATGTATGAAGTTAACGCACGGTAGATGGCTTATTAATTAAAAAGGTATATGGTTTCTAATATCCTACTTTATTAATGAAAATTTTAACCAGGTTTTTGTTTTGCAGATATTATTGGTGGTGCCTGCCAGCTTCCAGTTCCGAGAAAAGAAATCCAACACTTTTCGTCTTTATTTCCCCTGTCCTTTGTGCGCAATAAAAGTACAGTTTGTACCCGCGAGGGTACACATTCGCAGAAGTATATGTTTTTAAAATAAATGTTTTGGTCAATATTCACTAGGTGGGGTTACCTTATTAAAGAAAATCTTATTCCAAGAGGGGACACTAGTTTACATTCGAACCGCTAGAGGGTGCAGATGGTCACGCGAACAATATGATCAAGTCTCATTGACGCCATTGCTTTTCTTAGGGGTGGGAAAATATCTGGGCTCTGATTGGCTTCGCCGCCATCGCAAACTAGAGGTGGGGAGATTGATTAAACCGCATTTCTGGTTGCTTATCCAATGGGAGCCAGTTTCAAGGGATTATGGGTAAAGGGGGAGGAGCTAGAGAGTCGTGGGGAAGGAGGACACGCCCACAAAAGGGAGAGGAGTGGGGGAAGCCTATATTGTACTTATTCACTACTAGCGTTTTCAATATTTTCTTTATTTCTCTTCATATAGTCTCTAATTACAGTATGGATGATCCTATCCTGATTATACTTGTCTGTAAAGGATCTGGGGATTTTATTTGACCAGAAGTTATCTTTTGTACCTCATATTACTAAAATGGTTTCCAGAGCAATGCAAATTTTAGAATTCATAATAAGAAATTGATTGAAAGGGGAGTTGATCATGATCTTGTACTGAGAAGGTTCGCTGTGCTGCCTCCGAGTCTAAATAGACACATGCAAGCTATATCATTTCTCTACAAGTTAGTTCATTACGTAATCGATTGTCCGGATCTTCTGGAACAATCAACATCAATCAACTTTCTTACCGCAGGTATCGAGATCATCGCATTGTGATATTATGATGCTCTCCAGGCGATAATTAAGCAATTTCGATTAACTCCTTTTTCTTTTTTTTTTAGTTATAAGATTAGTAGATTTAAGATTAGTTTTTACGTCCCATGATTTATATTTAATATTTCCTGTATTTGGATCAGGTCACCTGTTGGAAATAAATTGCTATTATTGTTGTATGAAACGCATAAAACCAACAAAATATCAACTTTCGGGGACGCTCACTTCACCGTCACTTTTTTCGAGAATACGACTTTTTTAGAGTGAACCACGCCGAGGAAAGTTTTCCTCCCCAAAGCTCAAGAATGAGGGACCTGCTGATAAAGCAGAATATCCCCGAAAGCTCTCGAAGCCGGCGGACATTTTGGGCGTTTCTTTAATGACGCCGACAATGCGAAATTGGCCGGGCCTTTATGTCGGATCCTAAATTGGATCAAATGCGCTTCGGTCCCTCTGCAATTCGTTGCAATTTTTTCGGGAATTGGGTCAGCCCGTCTGGCGAGTAATTTTTTTTTATTAAGTAACACCGGACTAACAGGAAACTGCCGCACGCACGCCGGGGCGATAATTAATTCGAATTTTCGGCGGCGACGCTCCCGCATAAGCAAACCAACACTTACGTCATTGCGGTTTCGATGGTACTACAGGTAAAAACCAGGTATTTTCGGACGTGTCCGGTCGGGTTCCCGGAAGACGATTTCGAACAAATACCGAAATTGTTCGTAAAACGTTTTTAGGTCGACAATTGTAGTTGTAAATCGTACGGATTTCCATTTGTCCACCACGTGGCGCGAGCGCTAATGATTGCAAATGGACGGGCTCGTGTTTTTCAAATGGCGCTGAAATTTTGCGAATTTCAAAGGCAAATCTTACCGTTATCCTTTCTTATCTCGATGATTCGGATAGGCACACAAATATATCGATAGAAATGGGAGGCTCATCATAAAATGACGAAATTTATCAATTAATATATTAATTGAATAAAATAGTTACTTCAAGAGTTCATACAGGATATCCGAGTAGTCTACCAAGTAAATTGATATAAAAGCATAATACATATGAATAGTATGATATTAAAAGTGAAACACAATAATATAATCACAATAATATATAAACACAATAATCACAAATTTTAGAGATAATTTTGAAAAACGGCAGGGCAATCAAAAAAGAAAAAAGATATTTATGAAAAAATTAAAAAAAAAGCCTTAAAAATTCTAAAACCAGATAAATCTAACAAAACTGTGATTATGCACGAAAACTATTATAATGTGAAAATGTATGACCTCTTAAAAGACACCACTTATAAAGAACTAAATAGCGACCCCACTAACATCGTTCAAAAAAGAAACAGTGAATTAATATCCAGTTGGGAAAAAGAATTATTCATTTCACCTAACATAGCAAAAAATCTAAAAATAAAAAATGCACAACCGCCACGGATTTATCGACTTCCAAAGTTACACAAGTCAGGTATTCCACCCAGACCCATAGTATCCTGTACCCAGTCTCATTTCGAAAACCTTTCTAAGTTTCTTAAAGGAATAATAAACAAAAATCAGTACTATATTAAGAATTCGTTTGACTTGAAAAACAAAATTAAAAATGTATATATACCTGACAATTTCGTTCTGATATCTTTAGACGTTGTCGCTTTATACACCAATATTCCAATTACCCTAGCTAAAGACATTATTAGAAAAAAATGGCCGGAAATATAAAAAAAATCACAGATATACCTTTGGAAGATTTCCTACAAGCTGTTGAATTAACTTTAAGCTCAACCTACTTCCCATTTAATGATAAATAATACAGATAAATCGACGGTTGTGCCATGGGTTCATCAATTTCGAGCGTTATAGCACAATTAGTGCTAGAAGACCTAGAAGAATCAGTATTGAGAGATTGAGTGAGTTACGTCGACGATTGTGTAAGTGCAATCCCAAAAGGCGAAACCGACCACATTTTAAAGAAATTTAATGCCTAC